TATAACTGATTTGCTTTGTTATAAAGCAGAAACTAACACACCATCGTAAAGCAATTATACTCCAGTAAAGATGTAAAAAAAAAAAAAAAAAAGAAGTGGTGACTAAGTCCCCAGCCCCTTGTCGACTCACACCTCCTTGGAAATCTCAACATTTGTAAGAGTATCACTTTTCACCAAATATTATTGCAAATGTAGTATACTTCAAAATAAGTAAAAAACAAAAAACAACAACACCTGCGGCTAGTCCAGGGTCATAAATGATTTTATAATACATTGTAAAGTGGGAAAATAGGTTACGAATAAACTGTAGTAACAGTGCCTGTTTTGACCTTGGAGACTTCTTGTATGTAAAAGTACAGGAAGCCTCTACAAAAATGGAGGCCTCGCCCTCCCGGCCTGCTCTGCCCAGGCTTCGCCCCCTCTGCGCAGCTGCTGCCCGCAGGCCGGTGGGGACTCTGGGGATGCTGCACCTGCCGTGAGACGCTGGGGGTGGGGTTGGGGGCGGGCTCCCCAAGGCCATGCTCTGCCTGAGGCAAGCCAGGAATGCAAAGGTGTGTGTACCAGGGCTCAGGACGCCTGCGGCTTGGATAAGCTCTTCCTCGGGAGTCAAATTCGACCCTGAAGGAGTGTGGCTGGTGCAGACCTGCTTCCCAGGCCCCGCACCGCAGCTCGGCCGCCCTCTGCTCATCCTGGCAGGTCACTGACCCTCGGAAGCCCCCTTCCTCGTCTCTAAAGTGAGGACTCAGTGAGGAAATGCGTATTTATCAGCTGTATATAGTGAGCACCGTAAAAGGTGAGCCGGTTGTAATTTTATAAGCGTCAGATTCCACACTAAAATGAAAACCAGTTGTGTTGTTGTTGTTCTTTAATGTGTCCTACAGAACTCACACGAGGAACATTTTGGGGCTGGTGGGTCGGTGGCAGTGTCGTCAGCCTCATCAGGCTTTTCTGGTTTTGTTTCTGTTTTCAGGTTGCCCGGCTCATGGAGATGGGATTTTCCAGAGGTGACGCTTTGGAAGCCCTGAGAGCTTCAAATAATGACCTTAACGTGGCCACCAACTTCCTGCTGCAGCACTGATGGTCCCAGCGGACAGCACAGGGGCCGGTGGGCTGCTGACCACAGCGGTGCCGTCCCGCTACCAGCTCAGCCCCAGGACCCGGCACTCTCTGGCAAGATGTCCTCGCTGTCCTCCTGAGCAAAGGGTGGTCCCCGCTGCTCCCTCCCTTAATTCCAAGATCATTACCATTAAGTATCCAAAATAAGTTTGCCATTAAGGTAGCATGTATTTTCTATCTTTATTTTTTTATGGAGTATTTTCCTTGGTTTGGAGAATTAATCTCCCATTCCTAATGTGTTTAAAATGCATTAAAATTACAGATTTCTGCAAGCAGTTGAATAGCACTCCACATGGGAAATTACTGCTATTGTCATATTCTTTTTACTATAATGCATCTTCCTACATTATATCTGATCATACGTGCCGGAAAGGGGACTGTTACTCGGAAAGGACATGTCAAATTTTCTTTATGGACTTTTTTCATTGCTTTTTTTTTTTTCCCCCTCAAATTTGCTTTCAAACCCGGGTGGCTGTTCAGGGTCCCCACGCCCTAGGGATGAGCAGTTCATATCTGCCGCACGCAGAGTTGGCCAGACCCGGCCAATGAAGGAGAGACAGGGAACTGAACCCTCTTCCGCCTGTTCCAGCCAGCTCCAGTCTAGGGGATTTTTCCCAACTACTCCCTGCCTCCATTAAAAAATAATAATCAGGTACCGATTCGAGGTTCTGGAATACAACATGAAACTTAACTGGAGTTAATTTTGCTTAGAATATCCACAGTTAGCCACTCAGGCTAGGAGTAAAAATGGGACAAAGAGAAGAGCGGGCTCACTGGAGCAGTACGGGGCGTCCTAGCTGCAGGGCCAGCCCCTCTGGAGCCAGGTTCCGCCTGGCCCTGGGGTGATCGGATATCAGCCTGAGGCAGGGTAGACTGACCCCACCATGGGGAGGAGCGGGTGGCGGGAGCAGATAAGCCTGAAAAGATCTAAAGCAAAATTTAAGGAAACTTGCAACTATTGTGTTCTGCAAAGCCAGCAGAAGTGTTGCAAACTGATGCAAATTTAGACATGCGTGGTACTTACAATAAAGTTTTTAACGTGTTTTACTTTTTGGTGTTTCTTTATTAGACTTACCTAAATAAAACTTTGTTCTAGTCTGTACTATTCTTTACCATCCAAACAAAAAGAAAAATTTTTTTTATCAGACTGCTCACCTTTCTTCAGAAGATTTGGGTGCTTTCTTTGAAGTGAGAGGAGCCCTTTGATTCCTTTAAGTAGGACTGGCCCTGTGAGGCCCCATTCTGAGGCTTGTTGGGGCCGTCAGGCTGCTCAGAATGGGAGCTGAGGTGAGTTTCTGGGAGCCTAGCTGGTCCCAAGCACAGGCCCTGACTTGATCTGAGTGTCCCCATCTCAGGTGTAAGGACAGTTGACAGTGATGGGACGTCCTTGACCACGGTCACTGGCAGGGCATGACTAGAGGGCCTAAGAGTGCGGATTTGTGTATGACCTCTGCAGCAAATCTAAACCCACCCTCTGGGCTTCCAGTGCAAAAAAGAGCAACCATATCTAAAAATACACCATCTCCTGAGTTCCTTCTCGTCTCCAGAGAGCGCCTGGTGAAGCGAAATCAAAGCAGAGGCAAAATTCTCACTCGAGACTTTTCACTGCTTCTCTCCCAGAGGATGGGGAGCAGAGAGCCCGCTGTTGGGATCACAGGGTGAGGCGCAAAGAGGATTCACCACCCCAAGTTCTTGTTTGCTTTCTTGTCAGGATTCCCTCCTAAATGAGAGAGCCTTGTCCAGCTGAAAGGAGCCTCGGTGACCCTCGGCTTCAGTCCTTTACTAGAAATCGAGGTCCGTACAGGTGGCGTGACCATTGGACATGCACCGACGGTGGCAGAGCCAGGACCCCTCAGGTTTGTCCTGGCTTCTTTCAACCTCTTTTCCAGTTCCCTGCGGCTGCCAAGGTTTCACCTTCCCAGTGGTGACCCGTTATTTTAAATCCTTTTCCTGCAGCTTCCAGGCCGTTGTCCCCCTTCGTCTGTCACCACCCGCTAGGGTGTCCCTGACCCCACCCACACCCCTGCACACCCTCCACGTCTGGCTTCACTCTCGGACCAGTTGCTGCAGTTCCCACCCCTGACCTGCTCTTGCTTCCTGCACATTTGACACAAACGGCACCCACCGCCGAAGCGTGAGTTCCTGAGGACACCCACACCTCTTGTCAAGACACCCGGAAGTCTTTCAGGCTGATGGGACCCCTAAAGGACCCCATTTGCGTTCATGCCTGGGGACGCGTGCCGTAGGGGTGCACCAGCAAGCCACTCGGTTTGGTTTCCTAAGAAAAGATCATTTAGGCTTTTGATTTTGTGCAAAAGTTATCGGATTGGGCCTGATTTGCAAGTGAGCAGATTCCAGATTGTAAAATAAGAAAGAAGAAATTGTCCACAGTGAGCCACCCCTCCCCTTCCCAAATAAAGGTAACCCTGCCTTCGAAGTCCTGATTCGTAAACCTAGACTGAGTTCGGATTCAAAAGGTAAACATTTTAGGGAACTTGAGCACCTGTGCTCCTGCCCAGGGCTGCTCCTGGAATCAGGTCACCCCTCCCACGGTTAGCATCTGTCCCTGTGGCTGCTCTAGAGCCGGGCTCTGATAGCCTGCTGGGAAATTCCAGCCCCCCATGCAGGCTGCAGGGGCAGTGGGGGGAGAGGAGGAAAGTTTCATGTGTTCCACCGCCAGACTTTCCCCTGGGGACTGTCCTGGCTGCCTGCCTCCTGCCCCACTCCCCCCAGCTCCGACCATGTCGGGGCCACCGTGCGAGGCCAGGATTCCTCCTATGGGGCCAGAATTGTCTTTCCAAACCACTAAATGTCCCCAAAGCCAGGTCCACCCAGCTCCCCCCAGGCTGCTCCCAACTACCCGGGCCTCCTGGGAAACCGCAGCTGCTCTCCTAACACTGTCAACATTCAAGGTAAGGATGTTGACCCCCCAGACTTCGCAGGAGCCTTGGTGGTGATGCAGTGTCTCCCCTTGAGATTACATTGGCATTAAGGTCAAGTCTCCTTTTCAAAAGTGGCCCAGTAGACTGGCCTTGATGGCTAAACAGCGGACTGGACTTGATGTCTTTCGGGGTCTTTAACCGGAGGCCCTGGGTTCCTGTGGTGCCACCTCACAGCCTTTGTAAACCCCTTATTCTGAATTTAGCACTTGAGTTCAGTAGGAAGATTGTGGCTGTCAGGTAATCCCTGTGATGCTTCCCCCTCACTTCCAGGCCAAAGGTAAAGGGGAGGAGTTATCAGAAGGCCGCAGGGAACCCAGGGTCGAAGGCCTGTGTTGTGGTGGGAAACGGGGTCCCAACTCCATGCTCCTCGGCCTCTCTGGTCCCCCTGCCCCTGCGGAGTTGCCCTGGGCCCCCTGGGTGGGCAGTGGGGGACCTGAGCCCAAGTGGCTGACTTTTCTGTCCTACAGGATTTCCATTTCGTTTCTTCACAGGGGACTGTGGTCAGTTTCGCTCTTTTGCTATTCTAAGAGCTGTGTGTGCGGAGTTTTTATTATAAGATTATGCAGTAACGTTCCACGGAAGTATTGCGCTTTGTCTGAACATTGCTCAGCCTAGTACCCTCTGTGCAAATTTTGTAAAACCCTCATTTCGGTAGCCTGTACCTGACCCCAGCCTTTCCTGTGCATCAAGCCGCCAGGGTCAGAGGTCCTTTCAAAACCCCCCAGTGGGCATGGAGGGTCAGGGCTCCCTCCTCAGCAGGCTGGGTCCTGTCCAGTTTAAATCTACAAAGACATAAATGTGACACCTAAATCAAGCGTCCATAAATCAACACCTGCTGGTGCCTTAAGGACCTGTTTAAAGGGGGAAAGCTCACTTGTTTTGTTCAAGCAAAACAGTCAAGCAAATAATTGGAAAAGCCAGCCCCTCAGCAGAGTGGACAGAGACAGCCCCGGTGTCAGCAGAACAACAGGTAAAGCCCAACACCTACTCCCAGCCTGTTTTATTTCTGAGTGTTTCTGTGAGGGGCCGTTTTAAACATTTATGAAATTTCTAAATTCAGAGCTCAAAACCACTCCAAATTTGAGGATACTGTTGCTTTGGGCAGAGGAGGGAACGAAGTGGATATATGGGAAGAGGGCATAAGGCATACAGGGTGCCTGTTTCACTCTTGTTTTTAATATTTTACATAGATGCTGTACGTAGTATAGGGGTTCAGAATGAGCTATAATGAGGATTATTTTGAGCTAAAGGCAATTGAGATCCTGTGGGTTCAAGGGAAATTACTGCCCTTCCCCTTACTACCTAGAAGAGTTGAAACTGGGGATTTTTCCCAGGAAAGAATTCTTACCAGAGATAAATTTCACCGAAGTGGCCCCATCTGTGTGTCACGACAAACATCTAATTACCCAACATCTGCTCCTCTTCTCGTCCTGTGAGTGAGCCTCCCATCCTCAGAAGCCCCGACCCCATTCCTCAGCTCAGGATGGCGTCTAGACCTCATTTTACCTTTCTGTCTCTGACCCTCTCGTGTATGTGGGCTTCCTGTACATACGAAAAACTAAATTGTATTGTCTCTGTCTAATGTCAATTTAATTCTTAGACCAGCCTGAAGAACCTAGAAGTTTAGAGGAAACCTAACCAACAGTACTCTTCTGTATTACAAAATATTCAACAAAAAGTTGAAACTCTCCAAAGAAATCTCGCATCCCCCCTTAAGGGCTTGCAGACTTCTTCCAGAGGTTCAGACCGAGAGGGCCTAGTGCATCCCCTACATCGGGAGGGCCCCCAGGCCCAGGCTGGCAGAATGTGGCTGCAGCCCCAGGGCATTAGAATGGGGGGAGGGAAGACAGCATCCTTGGGGAACTTCTCCTACTGCGCCCCTCATTTCACAGCGAGGACACTTCCAGCCGAGCTCCTGGTAGAGATTTGGGGAGGGCACAGCATGTCCTCAGGACTTTCCGTGGATTCAGACACTTCCCAGGAGATTCCTTACATGGTCCAAACCTTATCCCACCTGTCCAAAGCTGGTGGATATCCTCAGAGTGCCAGACCCAGGCCTCCCCTGGACTGTGATATCTGGTGGGGCTTGTGGCTTGGGTGGGAATCAATCCACTTCGGTCCCATCTATACTCCCAGCCTAATCATGTTGGGGTCCAGTTGAAACAGGAGGGAAGGGGGCAAGGCACAACCTTTAAAAGAATGACATAGCAATAGGACGTGACAAAAACTGGTTAGAACCAAGTAGGTCCAAGATGGCTGAAGATTCAACTTCCAGTAACCTTGAGCCTCATTATACACTCATTGTAAGACATTAGCTGCTAAATGGCACACCCACCAGCACCATGACAGTTCTGAGGC